ATTTAAATGTTACAAGTAGATTTAGTGTATTTAGTGATTTAGTGTTTTTAATATCTAAGTATTATTTATATTTGCAGTAGTTAGTTATTTATGTCTTTATTTATTTGTTACTCAAGAATACTTCCCAAAGTCATTTCAAAAGTCTTTAAATATTACCGTCAAATTACATTTATTTAATATGACTTCAATGTCCATCTTCTGACATTGTACCATAAAATCAGCAATACAGGGTCCATACTGTATATGTACCATTAACTACTTGGGAACATAACTGTACCTTTCAAGCCTTCAAAAAGTACAAATATGTACTGTAAGGTACAAATATTAGCTCTATAGGGGTACAAAAGTCCAGAATGTACCTCAGGGGACAGAAATGTACTTAGAATACACAAAAATGTACTCTTACTGTACCCTATTTTCTGACAGTGTAAGAAGCATCCATGGCTTCACTTCACGAGTTAACTCACAAACAAACAAGTCCTCAGACTGCCGTAACACAAAGACGGACTCACAACCTCAGATTATTTACGGATAAAAGAACAAAACAATTTACCTCCTAAATCGTTAAAAGTTGTGGACTGTTTCTACACGAGCGGGTCTCGCAGAAAACACAAATTGTGAAAAGCACTGCGGTGATGCGATCGTTTCCGGGAGGGCTTTCAAAATAAAAGTCCGTTACGTTCACACTCAGTAGAACATGAATCGTCCTCTATTTTTCTTGTGTCTTGATAAAAGAACTACTGGCTTGTAAGCCTCACACGGCCGGAACCAAAATATATGTGGGGGTTTTGGGTATATTCTAAAATAGATAATTTGTGACTCACAAATTAGCTCACCTCGAGGCACCACATTCCTTAATTCGATCAAGAGTTGACCCAGGAAAGAAATGAAAACTGTAACTTTATTGTAATCAGTCTCAGAATACATTTACCCAAAATGATTTGATGAGTTCTGGTCTTATCAGAACCAGGTATTTCTTTCATCAAGACACAAAAATGAGCTTAGCTTATGTTGGCACGTTCTCCACGAGCCATTTATTTACAGATTAAATGTATTTACAACTATGGCGAGTAATGAGTGATGACATAATTGAACCATGTAGAAACAGAAAGTTTGTAATCACGAGTGAATAACGACAACCAAACAAACAAATAAACAAACAACAAATAAACATAAAATAAGCACTGAGGTGAGTTTGAGGCTTGGAGTGAGGTGAGGTAAGCTGCTTTAGCTATGGTTTTAACTAGGGACTCCTAAGTTAAATTGGATAAAGAAAAACGTTTAGTTTACCAAATTTCATACAAAGATAAAAATCTAATTTACGTCTGAGCACCTGTGTGTCACCAGGACAAATGTTCACCTTTACCCTTTTGTTCTGCCTTGTGGGCACCAGGAGGTGAAGTCAGCGGTGGAAGATCATTTCTGGAGTTCGTTCTCCAGACAGCTCTCCATGCAAACTGGACATCAGGCGGTCTGCCTGATAAACTCGACTGGTCCCTTGGTCAGAAAAGGAGGTCGCTCTCTGGTGACTCGTAGTCTGGTCCTTCTCAGGTGGCTGCAAGACTCTTAATTTGATCTTCACTTTGTAGAGAAAAACGAACTAAAACGGCGCATGAATTACCATTAGCTTAGTTGACTTCTATAAAATCAAACTCAGAGACTGAGTCGAAATGGGATGAGAGAGCTATTCGGATCAATCAGCGTAAGATGTTGAATGATTCCCCCCCCGCCCCCCCCCACTCTATCCTGGTCAGCCGTGGGAGGGGCTGAAAGGGGGGCCTCTGCAGAGCTGTGAAAGCTGTTTCTAGCTTCAAAGGGAAAACCAACTAACTGCTGTACCTTTGTCTGACTGACTATCTTGGGAGTTGCACTGACCTTTTAAAACCTCTGTTATGGGCGGAGTCAAGGTTTTAAGTTAGCCAATTAAAATTTTACACCAAGTTTTTAACAAATCAAATGTTTTGGAGGGAAGACTTTACTTCAAGACAAATAAAAGGGAGTGTTTTAGTTTAATTATCTTGCATCTAATTAAAGGGTGAAACATCTATTTTACCTCAGTAAAATAAGAATGTCACATTTAGTTAAAATTCAAAGCCTAAAGTTTCCTAAGGATTAAATCATGTAATAAACACAGTTTAAAATCATGAAATAAAAGAAACATCTTCTTCTTTAGAACACTTCATCAAATAAAAACACACAGTTAGAACATTGAGCCTCATGCAAGAACATGTTCGTATTCTTATCCTAAATTTTTCTTACTTTTGTTCGTACAAAGGGTTCGTACGAACATGTCACGTCAGACTCAACAAACTCTTCTATCTTCAGGAAACGTGCGTAAATGAGCTGCGTAATTTCCACCTGTTTTATCCAGCTGCTCGTGGAGAGGAGATTAGCATAATTACCACCCCAAAAACACCATATAAGGCTGTGTTTCCTGCCTCAGATACAAGGAAGTGTTCATTCATGAAAATGGCAGCGATTCTCACTCCCAACTCGTCACATATTGACGTTTAAGGTAAGGTTCCCTCTGCGTCTTATTT